AAAGCTCACAAATAACAAGATGAACCGAGAAACTCATCGGAAATTTTAAATTTCACATTATTTAGATATGAGAATTTATAAGTATTTAAATCTAGATCGTAAACATCATTTATTAAATGATTGCATATAATGTTAATACACGTGTTGATGTTGTTATTGCTCGATTCATGCTTTTGCAATTAGTGTCTTTGACACATATTGCACGTTTATTTTTTAGACAAAATTCATATAATTTTTTCTTCACATTTTTGGGTTTTCCCCCTGCTTTTATTTTAGCCTAATATGTTCTGTATTGATACGTAGACAGAAAATGCGTTCTAAGGATCATTTTCAAAGGTGTTTATGTAACACGCTTTTAGTCTAGACGTCACAAAAAAATATTTATCCGAAAGATAATTTGAAATAAATGTTAGAATAAAATTATTTCTTAATAGATGATTCGAGAAAACCTCGCGGATATACGTCATATTACTACCAAAACAAAATCAATATGTCCCTAATATTGACTATATATATAATGAAAAATATGAGTAATAATCTTAAAATATACATTGAACACACTAATAAATACCTATAGAAGATGTATACATCCATTAATACAACAAATTATAAAACACGATCTATTTATCGTAGTTTGGGGTGTTATAACGTATGTGGGTAGGGCAGTTCAGGAATACGTTTGTTTGGCACCAAAGCAAAGCAAACCCTAATTCCTTTTTTTTGGGGGGGGGGAAATCAAAGTGAGTCTGAGTCCAACCCCGCCCATTAAATGGGGACAGTGGAAAAGATTCGTCAAGTGCACGTTAGTGAGTCCAGGGACTTTAAATAAAGGGTTGGGAAAATGGCAAGTCCATTGCCAAAAATGGTGGGAATTGCACCAGCAAAGCTCTTTCCATTTACCTAATTCATCATCGTCTTCTCTAAACCTTTTTGGCAAATTACAATTCCAACGTCTTTGTCCAACTCGCAGACCTGAGTCTCCCCCCCCCCCCTCCACAACACCCTTTTTCTTTATAATCCGAATTTGCCGGAACTCTTTCCAAATACCCCTCAGTTTCAACTCTTTCTTTCTTTCTTTCATCGTCTTCTTTTAACAAAACAAGCATTCTTCTGAGTTAGATCTTGTTAATATGTTATACTTGCTTTTTTTAACTATAATATCCATGTCTTTTTCTTTCCTTTTCTTTTCTCCTCAGCTCACCACAGTTCATATTTTATATATCTTCTTAGATCTGTTGTCAGGACAAGGGAACCTTCTATTTCTTTGCATGAAGATCTCTTTCCCTGTTTTTTTTCCAGGCATAATCACACAAGATTCTGGGCTCTTAACAACAAGAAAGCGTGATGGGGTTTCTTCGTATTCATGGTTTCCATCCCTATTTGTTTCGGATCTTTGCAAAATCTCTTCGACTCTATCTTTTTTCTAGAGTAAATATGCACCCATAAAACAGTACGACTACCTTTATGAAATAAATAAAAAACCCCAAAAATCTTTGTTCATTTCACTAGGCTTTTTAAATAAACTTGTAAGTTTCTTGGAATTGAAGCTAGGGTATGGGACTGGGGATGGCTAACTTCTCCTCCATACCCTTCCTTTTGTCCTATTTATTAATGTCTTTCAGCCATTTTGTCATTTCTATTTCCGTCTCGAACAATGTATCTGCTTCTGCTCTCATTTTTCTCCATCTAAAAACCAACATTTTTTTCTAAACTTTTTGCATCACTTTCTTCAATGTTCGATTCATACATGAAAACCATACAAAAGGCACGTAAATCTAAACAGCCAGAAGGTACTGTTTGCTAGCAGGTAGAAGTTGAAGAATGGGTAGAGGAAAGATGAACAATTAGTTTCTCCCATTACATGCATGACTTTACTATGCTGCTAGCTGAAATAGAGTATTTGAAAAAAAGGGTGAATTATTGTTCTAACTTAAGTTCCAATTTATGTCATTTATTATAACTTAATTTAATATACTAATTAATTTTTATTTATTATCTTACAGGAAATTGAACTGGAAAATGAAAGCGTTTGTCTCCGAACCATGGTAAAATATTAAACACATAAAATTTAATATCTTCCTTAATTATATGATCAGCTGAATAGACAAATAAACAATTAGTTTCTCCCATTACATGCATGACTTTACTATTAATAAGGATTGGCTAGGATATGATCATATGAGACCATAAATACTTGTAAAAGGGTAGGGTGAACCGGTTGATGTATTTCGGTTCGAATTTTTAAATTTAAATTATTTCAAATTTTCAGTTATGATCTTTTTTATATTCGGATTAAATTTGAGTTAACATGGAAATCGAATATACTCATTCTTTTTATTGGATTTTGTTTTACACGAAAAAGTTTAGATTGCAGAAGTAGAGAGGCTTCAGCAGGCGAACATGGTGACTGGACCTGAGCTTAATGCCATTCAAGCTTTAGCTTCTCGCAATTTCTTTAGCCCCAATGTGATGGAGCCTCCAACTGCTTATTCCGACAAGAAGATTCTCCATATTGGGTACTAATTTCCTTCTGGTTTCGTATTTCTTGGACGATACAACTGCACAACACAGACACATAATAAGAGATACAAGTAAAAAGTAGATTTTATATAATAAAACTGATGCATCAAAATATTTATAGTACCTTTATGTATGTATATTATACGTATAATTGTGTGTCGTGTTTTAACCCTAAAATATTTGATCATTATTTGCAGGTAGCAAGAGAAAACAAATATGGAAGAATGAATAGTTAAATAAAATAAGAAGGGGATGCATTTACAACTACTATGAAGCTGGTGTGATATATTTGGATATAATATATTGCTAGGATGCTCAATATGTAATAACTACACGTGTCTTTTAAAAAGTTCAATTAAAACATTTTTAGTTATTAATAACATTTATCTTATTAAATATATAAATAAGAAATATAATAAAAATTATAATCTCAATTTTTTATTATATATAAGATAGATTAATCATAATAATCAAATTTTCCCTCTACGTGTGTCAAAGAGCACAAATTAACCACTAATTAATAAAAAAATATCATACTAAGAAACGGTTGAAAAATTAATCAGATCACTCGGAAAAATACAAACAAATATGATACAAGCACGATAGGTGAAGATTGAAGATTGTCAAAACTAACATAGGAGTAGAACAATTAAGGTCAGTACATTGATAATTGACTTTATTACAAAGAAATATCTATGATGATTGCGAGTATCTATCAATATAAGAGAATCAACTTGAGGATTCAATGTAGGAGTATATCAATAAGATAAACCAATAAAAACTAGTTGAAGAGGCATTGATAAATCTAACCTTTAAAAAACAAGAAACATGCTATAATAATATACAAAAACAACTATCATTTTCGTACATTGTCAAAATCATTTTTAGATTCGAAATAGTTTTTCTTGAAAATTGTATACATTTAAAAAATTGAACCGTCATGGGTCGTTTAGGGCCATGTATGATTGAACACCATTGAAATTACCTTTTCTTAAACTTTTATTTTTTATAAAAAAAATTAGGATGTTTACATTTAAGACCATATAAAAATTGAGTTTGGAAGTTGATTATTTGTGAGAAAAGTCAAAGCAACCTCATAACGTCCCAAATTAATATCTTTTTAAACCATATGTTATCTTTATTTTTTTAAAATTCATGAATTCAAATTTTTAAATTTATTTTTTAATTGAAATTGAAGTTTAGTTTTTAATTTGAATTATTTTAGGATCCCTTGTATGTAAATTTTGAGAAGCACTTCTTCCTATCACAAATGATGATGAAAAGTCTGATGAAAGATGCCTTCCTGTCACAAATAATTAACTAGATAACATTCAGTAAGTTAGTACACCATCACGTTAATTATCGTGATATGATAAATTTACCTTAATTTTTAGAAAATATTTTTTTATGAAATGCATTTTTAAATTTTAAAAATGAATAACACTATAAAAAATATTTGTGTTCGAACTACAACGTTGCATAATGCATTTATATTGTAGATTGGTTAAAAAATTATAAAGAAATATTACCTTGTAAAAATGTTAAAAATTAAATTAAAAAATTTAAAACTTACAAGTAAAAATAACAATTTTACATTTAAAAAGGACTAATTTATATATATTCAATCCTCTATGCTTTATTTATATAAATTACGTGTGTTTTAATTTTGAATAAATTAAAAATATTAAAATTTGTTAAGTACAACGTAATTTTCAAGTTAAATATATATTGTTAAACTCAACAATTAATTTATTAAAACGCCGATCATATAAAAACATTTAAAACATTAAGTGACGCATATCCTTTGTATAGATAGAATGTCAATTAAAATATTAATGATATGTATAACAATTTAAAGTATTGTTATATCAATTAAAAATTAATTTTTATTTAATTACAAAATTGCGTGGTAAGAATTACTGCAATTTAGTTAATTTTTTAATTGAAATGGAAAACTCCAATTTTTTATTTAGAAAAATGTATTAACCATTACAGTAAGAAGAGAATAATAGTTGGTGATTAAACCGATGATTGGGCTGGTCGAATGGTACGGCCCAAACTCCATTGTCCATCATTTAATATGTTTGATGCGATTAAGAAAGCGAGAATTGAGAGAGACGATGGAGGGTCCTCCACCCAACGACTTCTGTATCCAAATCAATTTGTGTCGGTCGTGACGATGTGAGAAAACTATTCACGAACGTAAAATTTAAATCAAAATTAATTTAAATGTCTAAAATAGAGAAGGTCAACATGATAACAAATAAACGTCATCTTAATCAGTCGTGACCGATATCAAATTCAACTCAAAAAAAAAGATAAACGAAAATAATGACAAAAAAATCGAAAACTACTAAAAAAATAAAAAATAATATACTACAAAGACAAAGATAAACATATTACAAATAGCAGTTAGAATATTTACTGGCATTCAAATTCATCCAGATATGGCATTGATCCTTTCAGCCAAGCAGATATAACTATGCTTTCTTCTGAAAAGCTCTTCTCCTTTTCTTCCACCTTAAATTTTCCAATTTCTCAGATTTCCATCGTCTAAATTTTTCTCGATCCTTCAGCCATTCAGAATAATCTTTTCCTTGCTTGCACTCGATGAAGTCGGCTAAATCCGCAACAGCAGATGAGTCTTGGGAACCTTGTAAAACGCATCTGAGAAAAATCTCACCATTGCAAGTTTCACCAGTAGTCTCTTCTATGCTGAGAGCCGATTCAACATGATTTTTCTCTGAACTTCCTGGTTCCTGCTCTTGAGCTCTATTTTTAGAACTCGTCTGAGATCTAGTTCTGCAACAATGAAGAAAAAGGAGAATGAGATCCCCCTCCCTAAAATATAGACAACAGTGGACTCTATATGTTACTCGGACTATTCTGTTAAATATCTAATACAGGTATTTGTCGAATAAGGCTATGATCTAATTTTTTCCAAGTTTTTTAATATATTTGAAAGGTCCTTAAAAGGTCATATCCCCGTATCCATATCTAAATATGTGTCGGAGACGAATACTTCACAAAGCCAGATTTAAACAAGTCTTATTCAAAAGGACTAGCAAAGACTTAAAGAAGAAAAGTTAACTAAAATGTACACCGTAGACAGAACAAATTGGATCAATTAGGCGCTTGGCATCATCAGCATAATAAGATTGACACAAAAATGTCACCTACCCCAAGTACAGTGTCTGAATTTTCTGGAATTTTAGTGCAACAGCGTGGCTAGATTTCCGATCCACGAGAACCTGAATCATCATTCTCAATTATTTCGTAAGGCAAAGATGTAATGAGCTTGACAAAGAAGAAAAAGAAAACCTTACCTCACTAGTATTAAGTGAAGGTTCAGATTTTCCGACTTTAACACGCGATTTCCATGATGAAGATTTTACCCTTGAGTCTAATAAGGATCCAAATGCATGGAGATCACCCGCTTCATAAACAAATAATTTCAGCAGTATTATCAATGTAAATATGCAGTTCTTAACCAGAAAATCAAGCCCACTAGAATAACTTAGAGACAACAAGCCTGAGAAATGAAAGAACATCCATTTTAACTTCTTATGCCTTGTTGGCTGAATTTCCATCATGTCATGTAAGAACTTCTGAACTGGTAAGCGTATACCAAACTGCTGAAAACAATTGAAAGTAGCAACCAAAAGATCATACTCCTTACTTAATGCAACATTTTCCGATGTTTTCAAAGACCCAGAATCTCCGCCTTGTGTTAGAACCCTTATGGCTTGTAACATAGCAGAACTCATTAGCTTCAATATGGATGCGAGAAGACAAATATCTTGAGGACTAGTATCTTCCTTTTCATGCAGTATACAGTCATCAACATCATCAGAAGAACCCCGGAGTGTTATACAGCTTATGATTGATAGAATGTCATCTCTAGTGGATTCCTCAACAACATGAAGGCTCTTTTGTGTATGCAACAGAGGCAGCAACTAGCTCAGACCTTTCTTTTAGTAATGTACTGCTTAAATATGAATTCCATGAATTATCAAATTTAGCGATGAGATTGTGAATTTTCTCTTTCGTAGCTGGCAAAAGACAAGAATCAAAATCCATCTGACTGTAACTTGCACGAAAATGTGATTTCAAAAAAGAATCATTGCCTGCTATGGGGTAGCCTTACATGTTCATATTGGACATGTGTCTGGTGTACAAGGCAACTGACCTTTCAAATGCAGATAGGTATGCTCTTAGTTCACTGCTTGAATTCAAATGCTCAGAAGACATGCTAATTCCAATGACTTCGGAAACCAATAAAATCAGATATGCCTGAAACATTTTGGGCGCGGACAACAGGACAGGGTTAAGAAACAATGACAAGGCCGTAGTCAAAGTCATTTCTGGAACTCTGAAGTTATTGTTAGGAAGCCAAAATAATCTATCGATGAAATTCTTAAATGCTTGGTCATCAGAAAGTGAGAGTATAAAGTGAGCAGAAAGAACCTCCAGCACACTTCCAACATTACCATGGCCAAAGTGACGTGTGAATACAAACTCATTCCCACAAGAGAGAGAGTCAACAAATAAAAGGTACTGCCTCACTGATTCATGCATCAGAAGCTCGTCTGCAACAACCTACACATGGCATTTTTAGTATTATGTCACTCTTTTCCCGCTTAAGTATATCCTAATAGTTTCACATGGCAGCAGCCTAACAAACATAAACTATCTATGACGAGAATAAAGTCACTTTAAAAAAGCAAAAATGAAAAAGCAACGCCATTATTTAGATTGAAAAGTTGCCATGTTGTTTTAGAACAAACTCACAAAGTGCCACCCAATATAGGAGAAATACCAATACCAGCTTACGTAATATACAAAGGTGATGAGTATTATGAACACAAGTAAAGCCATTGGCATTGCAGAGTAATATCAATAATCTATGAGGAAAAATCTGAGTCGAATGCAGAGAACAAGAACTGGGTAATGTCCAACAATCATTGACAAGAGAATAACGCAAACCTAACAATTTTTTTTAATATCATGGCTAAACAATAAAGCAATACGTGACAAAATATAAAACATAAGGACCTTTGGATTATAACTTCACTCTCCAAAAGCAAAGAAAAATTTCTATGAATCTATCTAGCCAGGCTACAAACATTTTTCCTATGAGTTTTCCTGCATCAAAACTAACAATTTGTTCCTATAATTCGATGTTTTCTAACAAATAAAACATAGTTCAAAGAGCTTTAGTAATCTGCAAAATGCACTAACATTACAAGCAGTTGAATAATCGAATTTTGAATCAAAGCATGTGCAATATAAGAATTCAAAACCGAAATCAAAATTACCTCAAGCACAGCACAGAAAATGGCATGAAATGGATTAGAAAGTTCCGCGAAACTTAAGGAAGTTAAGGAAGTAACCAAGTGCTCAGCGTGGAGAGTAGTGCCACCATTATCGACATACATACATTTGCGCGAAACCTCCTTTTCGAAACTATTATAAGGTTTTTCATTACCTCCCTTTAACTCCACAGAAACACATTTCCTTAGTATCCCCAAAATAATTCGACCTTTTTCGACAAGAAGTTTCTGATCCAAAACAAGCAGTTTGAAAACTACAATGCAGCATCTCAAAAGCAAAGTTAGCTCTTTAATGGAAGCTTCAACATTGACATGGAAGATAGAGTGGGAATGAATCGGGTGGGGGAAGCATCATTCAAAGCAGAGAATAATTCATCGAACTTGGCATTGAGTTTGTCGTGTAAGACATCTGAGATTTCACGAGTATCCTTGAATTTGAGTTTGAATTCGTTGGAACTGAACTCGGTTTCCGAGAAATTTAAATTGCATTCGGAATCAGAGCAGCTTAAAGTAAGCAGTAGCAAATACAAGCCTTCTAGTGTTTCTGATTTTAGACCCTAAAATCAATCAAATTAAAAACAGAGGAAAAAAGAAGAAGAATGGCAGTGGAAGTGAAACGATTGTAAAGAAGAGAAGAAAGATGAGAAAATGACCTGAGGAGAAGAAAGAGAGGAAAATAGGGTTTGGAAGTTGAAAGAAGAGTTGTTCTTCCTGGGCTTCTTGGTCCTGCTGGGTCTTTTTGAAGTCATTTCTCAGAATACAAATCCCGCCACGCCAAACCCACCAATATCCGCACAAGAGGTATAAAGATTCGCACTTCAAAGGCGGCAGGAGCAGAGACTAGCAAACCAGATCAGACCGTTGGTTCAATAGATTAAACCGAGAAAAGGACGATCCGATTCAATCCTACAGATTTTGTTTTGGGTAAAAAGACCCTTTGGCCTTTAGGTAACTTTCGATTTTGAAATTTGAAATTTAGTGTATTGATTTGATTATGATTCTAGAAAAATTAACTCACAATTTTCACATTCTAAAATTGATGACATGGAATGAAATTTTTAATTGTTTATAACAAGATTACAATAAAATAATATATAAACATTAAATACTAAATTTATAATAACATCAATAAAATATTAATATCTTAATTAATTAGTTTTAATTACTTACTTTTCTATTGAAATGTCTTATTTTATTTTTTTGCCCTCCCGATTCTAAGGTTTCACCCTGAGTAATATGGATTAATTTGTGCCACACATCTGACTTTAATAAGTGAATCTTCTAACAATAAATTTTTACGTATACAAAGACTCAAACTCGAAACCTATTTAAACGATATCATTTATTTACGACTTAGACCAATATCATATTATTATATTAATATATTCTTAATGTTGCCTAAACATAAACAATATAAATATAATAAAAAAGATATTTAAAACTTCAAATACTTTAACAACAATTCCGATATAAGGAGGCAAAATCACTCAACTAGGGAGGTGGGAAAAGAATTTGTTGAAATAGTGTATGTTTGGAATTATTTTCTTAAAGTGTTATGTACACTGTATATTAGAGAAGACGTTGAAATTACCGTAACAAGTATGCTATGCCAAAGGAAAGGCTTTTCCACAGCCATATTTAGTTTCTTAGTCTAAGTCTTCATGGTTTTTATGCAAACAAGATCCATATAAATGGCAGGTTTGCAGAGCATACACCAGAAAAACTCACTACAGATCTATTTATTCATCTCGAAAGATTCAAAAAAGAATAAGGGAATAAATTTAGAAGCCATGAGAGAAAACACACGATTTTATTTTGAAGGCTCACTCTTGCCTCATTACAAACTATGCTACTACTTTATGTAGGCTAAAGGAGAGGAACATGATAAACTGATAAACTTTCCATATTTACAAGCATATTTCATAGGATACTAGACAAAGCCTGAAAAGATAAAATACATAAGATAAGGTTTTTGACATAATAAAGGCTACATGTCACTATAATCGGCGGACTCATCAGACGTTATATTTAGCTCAATCATTTTGTCTTCTTTTTTCTTGCTTTATCCTATAGAGCTTTAATTGATAGGCCTTATACTAATCTTCTAGGTCTATATCTATCTTTTCACATGCTGAGATTGTTGTTAAGCTTGTTTCTTCTGTTGAAACTTATGATAACTCATCTCTTTTGCTGGCAAAACTAATGATCAATGATAATATTGGGACCATTTTGAGGGATCAGATATACTTTCTCGATATTCACGTGTTGCCTCCATGACTACTTTATGGTAAGTGTAAGGTTTGTAAGCCATGAATCCCATGGTGCACCAACATCTGCCGTTGGCTATATCTCTAATGGAATATGTCTGTTTAGTTAGAAAAAACACTTTTGCAATGCTCTGTACTGATCATCCATTCTTCTGACATCATCATGATAAATTTGGTCCACCCATGCTGTAGGAAATAATCTTAACTGCTTAGATTTTCCATGTTGCGGGAAATAATGTGGCTTGTACAAAATGATTATCAGGAATAATATAGGGTTTTGTTGGTATTCTTTGTTGATCATATATAGCCATTGATGAAGAAGGTAAAACCATTGGAGGATGGTTAAAAGGTTTTTGATCTCTGGTTGGATTTGTCCTTGAATTGCTTTGTCTAGAAAATATTGAAGGACTGGGAAAGAGAATTGGATCGCTACATGGTGTATGTGGGTAAAATACCACAGTAACCATTTTAATTTAAATTCAAAATGCATTGGATGAATAAAGGGATAATCAGGATGTAACCCGTGTGGTTTTAGACACAATCCTTCTTAGTTTATAAAAAGATCTAACTGGTATTCAAAAATCATATCCCCAGCTTTAGAGTGGAATATATTTTCTATTACCAGTCTATAAACTTCAGGGGAAATTATGGGTTAATATTTGGGGGAACAGAAAAGGCTGACAGTAATACCCCAAAATTTGGTTAGTAACCAAAACGTAAGTTTTGAAAGTTTAGTTGTCAAAGTATAAAATTGGGAAATTTTAGGGACCTAAATGGTAATTTTTCAAAAAAGAATTTTTATTCCATAAATTGATAGTTTACTCTTAAAAATGGGGTTCCATGAAAATCAGATTCTTGATCCGAAAATTTTGTTAAAAACTAGAAATGGTTAAATTTTGATAAATCGGATCAAATAAAAAATTTGAAAAAAATTGAAGGATGATAAATTATGTTTAAAAATATTATTTCCACATTTTAAAATGATGGAAAACAATATAAATAATTGGATTTGAGAATTTATTTCCATGATCAATTTGGACCGTTGGATTTAAGTGGCAAGATTAAAGTTTTTGAAAAGTTGCAATGATAAAATGGTAAAGAGGTAAAATATTTTGTTCATCTTTGACTTTTGAAAAATGATAAGGGTTATTTGGCATGATTTGATGGTAATTATAAGGTTTCATTAAGGGTAAAATGATATTTTTCCAATTAAATGAATTTAATATTCCTTTAAGCTTAAGTAAAGGAAAATTTAACATGAAATTACTTAGAAATTTCATGTAATCTTCCCCATTTTTCAACTCCAAGCCGTGAACCTCATCCTAAGGTAAGAGAAAGTTTCTTTTTGATTTTTAGCAATTTCCTTTGGATTTTGGATTGAGCCCTAAAATAGAAAATTATTCTATTCGAAAAACTCTATCATTTGGTACCATTTATGCATGTTAATCTTGCTTTTGTTCAAAGATCTCAAATCCTAAGGTTTATTTTCATATTATGGTTTATGTAATCGATGATAAATCTTGATGTTTTTGAGGTTATAAATTCATTTCCAAGCTTTTTTTTATGATTAAAACATGCTCAAACCTCTTAGAAATGCTATTGGTATTTTTGGCCTAACCCTAAAATTTGGGGAAATTTATGTTTTGATGAAATTTGATTAGGGGTTTGATTTTAGAGAGTTTATAATATTGAATGGAGGTTAATTTCATGCTCGAATAGAATTGAAATCGAGAAAAAACATGAAAACCCTAGTCTTGGGTAGTTGAAGCATTCGACCTTGGCTTTAGAGGATTATAAAAATTATGGAAAAATTATGTAGGGGCTGGAAATGATGTAGGAAGTATTCTACAAGCCTTAGAAAAATTTGGGAATCATTTTGTAACTTTATGAACGTTGGGGGACCTATTAGACAATTATGAAAAGTTATTGGTGAATTTGTAATTGTTCAAAAGTTGTTTTACCTTTTTGTAAATTACTTTGTAAGTGTTGAAATTTAAGTTAGAATGTGAAATTGGATCATTTTGGAAGCTTGGTGTGTTAGGTGATTAGTATGGAAATTTCTAATAGTTTGAGGGATTTAAAGATAATTTTTTAATTGTTAATGTAATTGGTTGGTAATTATTTCAATGCTGGAATTTTAGTATTGAAATTTAAATGAGTAAAATGGTGAAGGGCCATTACATAAATCAAAAAAATTGGTGCCAATATTAAAGAAATTCATAAATATTAAAGTATTTTGATATCGAATAAGTTTTGAATATATCTTATGGATTGTTGTTATTGGAATTTAATTATGTTAGTACAACACTAACACGTGTTTCAATATGAAATTGTGACTTTGTATATATCGTGATTGAAGCGAATCTAGTATAAAAGGATCAAGTTTGTAGCTTAATGAGGCAAATCTTTTGAAATATATAAAGTGTCAATGTGAGTGCAATACATGCATGACATTATACATGTATGTTTTATACATCATTAGTAACACTTGCGATGAGCCTACCTTGTTTGTATCGACACGATATTTATGTCATATTCATATTATTGACATGTTCTTAACATGTCAAGGTTGAAAATATATTGCATGGATCACTAATATACATTAATATTATTTCATGTATGAACTGCCCAATGTTGAGTATATTGATATGAATTTCCATGGATGAAATAATTATATACTATATGCCCAAGTATATCATTCAGGGTCATTGGTATAGTTGGCATGCCATAGAGTTTAGTAGTTGCATATCAGACTGTGCTAAATGATACCTAGTGCGGGTCAGTACTAAAGGATACCTAGTGCGAATAGTGGGCACAAACTTATGTGTCATATTCGGGAGCGTACTAAAGGATACCTAGTGTTGATGGTGGAAATGACCTCCCATGTTATATTGGTTTAGCACTTCGGAAAAGATGAGCATCTGAGGAAAAGATGAGATATCCATTTCAACCAAAAAATGGTAACCAATGAGATGAAACTCAAACTTTGATATTCTTTTCTTTACTACCAAGATTTCTTTAAAGGTTGAATGATAATGGATTTCTGCATCAGAAAACATTCCACTTTTGTATCCACATACTTGTCTTTTCTCATTCTTTTCTTCAAGAAGAAAAGCTCCCCAGTATTTTTCACTAGCACCAGTCTGTAGAATTCGTCTTCCACCAGAAGGAATTTACAACGGTGGTAGGTGTTGGAGCTTTTCTTTTAGCACTTTTATTGCCCTGGTTTGTGCTTCTTTCCATGGACGAGGATTTTTTTAGCATTTTTCTTAAAGAATTAGTATACTTAGAGATTTTTGGAATAAAATATCTTAAATAATTAATTATCCCTAATAATTGAAGCACTTATTTCTTTGTGAGATTTTCTTCTGGAAATTTTAATAATTTTAGGGCAATATAAGATCTTGGATGATATTGTCCTTCTTTGAGATGCATTCGAAGGAATTTTATTTCTTTTTGGCATATATGTATCTTTTTATCTGAGAGCATGATTCCATATTAAAGGACTAACTACTTGAATCGGTCAGTAACTTGG